CCCCACCCCATTCCTCAACATTGACTTAAAACTCTACAACTCTCGTGTCCTGGGCTGCCGAGCCACCTGCATCAGGGATCACTGGGTAGGTGGTTCTCAGTCTTCATCATCTCATTTGAATGAGCTTTATCCAGAAATGATAGGTTCCATGATCAGGAAATTATATAACCTTCTAACCCAGGCTGTTTTTTCACAGTGCCAGGCTTGACAGCTGATAATTTCAGAGCAGCCATCTGAAGCCAAAAATATGGGAATATAATTAGTATTCTATATTTCTATTAAAGTTCTGGAATTACAGAACAGACTTTCCATTCTGAAATGGCCAGTACCATGGCACAGATGTATTTCCTCAGCAGATGTCTCTTCCTCATAAAGGCTGCAGAACTGCTAATGAGCTGTGATAGAAAACCATTCTTCCCGCGTTCCCTGCCATTTGGGTAGACCTCGGGAAGCAGTCAGTGCTTCTGCAGCTGAATGAGCAAGGGAAGTATGTTGTTTCTGTACTGTTGGGTTTAGAGACCTATCCTTTGAAACTTGAGTTGGCATGATAGATCTTTAAAAAAAAAAAATCTCATTTTCAATATTGTATGTATCAAAGTGGTGTGATTTTTTGTGTGTTTCCTTATCTTTATTCTGTGGGTCGAAACAAGTTGGTTCTTGCAGAAAATGAAAGACAAGAAGTGAGCCGTGGGACAGGTGCTGGGTCTGTTCTTGTTGGACCCAGTACTGCTGTTAGGCTATGGAATATTCCACTTCCTTAATAACGGTGGAATTGGCATTCCCTCCAACTGTGCTTCCCAAGTGTGGGATGGGGCCACTGATGGGTGTGACTTCTGGTTGCACTTGAGGTGATTTCTGAAGGTACTGTACGGATGTTAAAAAAACCTTAAATTACATGATGAGTTAGTTATTCCCAATTTTCTGTCCATCTCAGTTGAAGCAGCAAAGACTTCTGGGGCTGGAATATCCTTAAAACTCTAGCACTTGTTAATTTCCCCTTTGTAGCTAAGAGACTGAAGATCTCAGGCAACTGGATCCAGCTAGAAATGAAAAACATCGATTTTCATTGTGTTTACTTTTCTGGTTACCTTCCATTTATGGCAAACAATCTTGGTTTTCTGTTTCCTATAGTGATACATTTCCTTTTAAAATGATGGCTATTAAAAAGGGAGCCAATTTAACGAAAAATGTGAATAATAGTCGAAGTCTTTAAATGATGTCGGTGTGTTAGGCCAGGGAGCACACTTGGAGAGTGAGTGCTGAGTGCAGTGAAGAGTGCTGGCTGCACCTGAGGCTCCTCTGGGGAGCTTCACCATCCTGATGCCTGGGCCTCAACCCAGACCAAGTAGATCTGACTCTCTGAGGGCGCGGCCCACGGGTCAGGGTTTGACTAAAACATCCCAGGTGTTTCCAGGGTATAGCTGAGGTTGAGAACGTCTGCCCACCTATCCTGTGGCGGCATCCCCACCCTTTGACTCCACATCTTTTTTTGGCGGGTGGGGGGATAGAGTCTCACTGTGTGGCCCAGGCTGGAGTGCAGTGGCACGATCTCGGCTCACTGCAGCCTCCGCCTCCCGGGTTCAAGCGATTCTCATGCCTCAATCTCCTGTCTGGGATTACAGGTGCCCACCAGCACACCCGGCTCCTTTTTGTATTTTTAGTAGAAACGGGTTTTCACCATGTTGGCCAGACCGGTCTCAAACTCCCAACATCATGTGATCCACCCACCTCAGCCTCCCAAAGTGTCGGAATTTGACACCACTTCTCGATCGCGTCTTTCCCTTGTTTCTCTCTCCTATCTCTAGCCCTTATTCTCATCTGCTTTCCCACTTCAATTTTCCTCTTATGTTCTCTTTGCTAGCTTCCCCTCTTCCAGCTTCCTTACAACTACTCCTATGAGTAATACCCCCAGCATTGTCTCTTAGCCTGACGTTCTTGAAACCATACAGTTGCAACCCTGTTAGAACATTGCCACACTGTACTGTTGTCCCTGGCATTTGCTTGCCACTCTGTAAGCTGTCAGTGCAGTTTCTGCACATCTAAGGCTAGTCGATTTTGTTCTCCACCAGTAACTTGTATTAAGAGCAATTATGATCATCGCTATTATGCTCTCACCATGTGCCTATCACTGCTCTAAGCACTTTACATGTATGAGCCTACATAATCCTGACCTGAAGGAGATATAATTTTCCAGATGAGGAAACTTAGGGAGATAAAATAGCTTGTCCACAGTCACAGAGTGGCAGAGCCAGAATGCAAACGCAGGCAGCCTTGCCCCAGATCCTACACTCTGAGATGGGACCCCAAGTTAGTTGCTCATAATCCTGATTCAGGTGTCCTGGCATGCCGTGAGTCACACATCACACAGGCTGTTCTCTGCTGTGATAAGAAATTGAAATTTGGACCCACTGTCTGCTTCAATGACATTTGGAATTGATAACTTTTTATTTTCAACTTATTTTATTTTCAACTTAAATGATAGTATCTCAGTAGGAAGCTCACAACTTTAAATCCCATCAAGATTTTAACTCATCACCATTCAGAAGAGATCCTACTTAAATAATTTTTTGTGTGTGTTGTCTGTCAGGAATATAAATTGAAGATATAAAAGCCAGCACCAGCAATAATTCTGCAACTGGCAGGAGGCAACGCAGGACCTCTTGGTGGCCTTGATAAGGGTCTTCTTTGGCTTGTCCAGGATGTGACCTTCTGCAGCCTCCAGTGTTAGACATTCCAGGGCATTTTCTGCCTTTTAAAAAGCATCTGATTCTCATTCTGGTGTTTAATCAGAGAGAGACCCCTGGCCTCTTTCCATTCCTCATGGGAGAGCTCCATTTTTGTGCTCATCTTTGGTGATACTCAGGGTTGATGTTTTAGTGGGCTAGACCTTCTGCATTGGATTAAAACCTTTCACATGAGCTTGATGAATTCTCCAGTGACCAAGTCCCCTGGGGGCCTCCAGCCCTATAGATTTCAGCATGATAAGAGTGGAAATGAGTCCATCATGCCTGGGGTGTAGTGAGCACTCACATCATGGTTTTTTTTTTTTTTTTCATTTTCCAAGCCCCTAACCATGTAAGGTGTTTTATAAACATTATTTTATTTGATTCTCCCAACAATTCTATACCACTGGAATTATGCCCCTCTTCATTTTTCTAGATGAAGAAACATAGGCTCAGAGACAAAGCTTCCCAGTGCTCAGGGTTATATGGTGAAGGAGGCAGAGTTTGCACGTACACCTGCTGAGCCACAGGGACCATGCCTGTGTGTTTTATTTATGTGCTATCTGCTCCCCGAGATGAATGAGGTTAGATATTTTCTTAGGAGAAGAAATACTTGGAAGGCACAAATGGGGTACGAGAAACATATGTTCAGCTTCTCTGTGGCTAGCAGGTCTGAGCCAGCCCCCTCCCCCTCTGTATTTGAATATAGTCCCATCTGTTACCCACCTGTGTAAGGCTGCCGGGTAAGGAGGATGTAAGGCTGTTGGCTGGCAGGAGGCGGCACACAGTAGGTCTACAGACTAGTAAAGGCAATGCCTGTCTCTGACTTCTGATCTTAGGGCTGTACCTCCCTCATTTGTGTCCAAAGACCCAACATCTTTAGGATTCTCCCCCCGCCCCCTCCCCATCTAACCCTGCCCACTGACAACTCCAGTGCCTTCTTCTAAAGTTCTTTTGTAATGCTTAATAATTAAACTATGCTGATAAACTATGCTAATTGCCTAGATCTGTGGTTCTGCAACATTTATGGACATCAGAATCACCCGGAGGCTTGATAAACACAGACCATTGGACCCCACCCCAGAGTTCTGATTCAGGAGATGATTCCAGTGCCGCCGGTCCAGGAACCACGCTGTGGGAACCACTGGACCAGGGAGCCTAGTCCCAGTTATATGTGTGTTGATGGCGTCTGACCAGTTGCATATCTGGTAATTCAGCCTCACTGGGAAAGATGCCATGGGAAGATAATGAGGAAGGCATTTGGGGTAGGAGGCTCTGGCCTTTGTCCCTTCATCATAGCAGTAGATAATTACCTTTTACGTTGATGTGCAGTGGCATTAGACAGCTTCTCACGGTTGTGAGCCTCTGCCAGCTCTTAAATCTCCAAGCCTGTTTTCTTCTGTGGACGAATGGCCTTTCCTTCTAATTATTTTTGATTCCCATATCAGGTTTCTCAAGCTAGGATTGCATTGGAAGTGCCTGGAGGTCTTGTTAAAGTGAGGATTCTGAGTTATTAAGTCTGAGGTGGGACCCAAGGTTCTACATGTCTAATGAGCTCCCAGGTGATGTAGATGTCGCTGGTCCATGCACCAGCACCGGGCAGCAATTCTGAGTTACAGCTGTATACAGCAATGGTGCTTGCCCCTGCTGTCCAGTAGAATCACCCAAGGAGCTTTTAAAAATGAATATTTGAGCCACATTCCTTGGAGATTCTAGTTTAATTCTGGGGATTAGAATTTTTAACTCCCCCATTCCCCAACTCCCTTGTGATTCCAATGTACAGTCAGAGTTGGAAGCCATTGGCCTTTACCCACAAAAAGGGATAACACCTTCTGGGAGGTCAGGTGCATGTGCGGCACCATGGACCAGGTCGGGCTGGTTGCCTCCATGCGGGGAGGGTGCGCCATTACTCCTGGGGTGCTGCAGAGGTCACCTGGGAATCTTGTTAAATAACGGATTCTGCTTTGGCAGGTTTGGGGTGGGACCTGGGTCTCTGCATTTCTAATAGATATCTAAGTGTTACTGATGCTGCCAGTCCAGGCTGGTGCTGAGTCCCAAGACCCGCCCACAAGGGCCCACACAATGCCTATTATCTCTGCCGGTGGTGGCAGTGGGTAGCTTTTCTCATGTCGAGTGTTAAAGGCTTTTGGCTTCCCACCGTCTCTCTCCTAAACGCCATCCTGACTTCTCTTTTACTCAGCTTGGTATTGGCACAGGACACTGGGCAATATAGGTCCGTTCTCTTTTTGTAATGTTTTCTTCCTTCTCTCTTCACAGTACGAGATGCAAAAAATCTAATCCCTATGGATCCAAACGGGCTTTCAGATCCTTATGTGAAGCTGAAACTTATTCCTGATCCCAAGAATGAAAGCAAACAAAAAACCAAAACCATCCGCTCCACACTAAATCCCCAGTGGAATGAGTCCTTTACATTGTAAGTGGTCTCTCCTTGATCAAATCTCGTTCCTATACACCATGCAGTTGCCCACCTCGTCGTTAGAGGTAATGAAGTAGGTTCATTATAAATGTCTTTAAACATGTCTTCAGTCCTAAGACCTTCTCCGGCTGCCATTAGGGAGGTAGCTATTAGCACCTGTTTGATAGATAGTAATTTGATTTACCAAGAGTTGCATAATTCCGACCTCAAATTATTATCATTATCTAACCTGGATAAACAATTCTGTGTAAGGTATTAAAGATGATGTGAAAATGTATCCGGTGTGTCCACCTCTCGATAGACTTAGGTTCTTTTGAGAGTTAGGGGAGGGCATAAGACAAGAATTTAAATAATTTTTAGACCACAGAATGAGTGAGTAATATAGGAAGTGTTATTGCCACTGAAACAGCAAGATCATTCTTGCCTTCAAAGAGAGAAGACTTCCTGGAAAAGGTGACACTTAAAGCCAGCCTGGGAGGGTTGCCAGGATTTCAGAGGTAGAGATGGTAGAAGGGGAAGAAGGAAGGAGGGAATAAATAAGTCAGAAAGACTGAGTGCAGCTGAGCAATAGCAAGAGGTCCCCTTTGTAGACTAGTATACAGGAAGCAGTTTTTCTATGGACAACCAGAAAGGTAGCTGTCTGTTCTAGAGGGACCAGCAAGCTCTGCTCCTATAAAGGATCAGATAGTATGTATTTTAGGCCTTGTGGGTCACTACAGCCTCTGTTGCACCTGTACAACTTTCTAGTGCCAAAGCAGCCATAGGCAATATGTAAACAAATAGCCATGTCTGGGTTCTAATAAAACTTTATTTATAAAAATAGACGGTGGGCTAGATTTGGCCCATGGGTCATAGTTTGTTAACTCCTCCTGTAGCGCTTTGGTTGCCAGCATAAGGGGTTGGTATTTTACTGGACCAGGAAGAGAATCAAATATACTATTTCTCTATCTCAGGCTCAAATCATGTACAGGTGGTATCTCCCAAGAAACCATGATCAAAATGACCTAGTGTTTGCATGTGTGTGTGTCTTGTAGCAAATTGAAACCTTCAGACAAAGACCGACGACTGTCTGTAGAAATCTGGGACTGGGATCGAACAACAAGGAATGACTTCATGGGATCCCTTTCCTTTGGGGTTTCGGAGCTAATGAAGATGCCAGCCAGTGGATGGTATGGAAGCCGCTGAGGTTGAATATATCTCAAAGCATCAGACCATTTAGACAGTTAGGTTTCAGTCTCTAAAATGTCAGTTGAGACCGGACGTGGTGCCTCATGCCTATAATCCCAGCACTTCAAGAGGCCGAGGCAGGTGGATTGCTTGAGCCCTGAAGTTTGAGACCAGCCTGGGCAACATGGAGAAACCCCATCTCTACAAAAAATACAAAAATTAGCCAGGCGTGGTGGTATAACCTGTAGTCCCAGCTACTCAGGAGGCTGAGGCTTGAGGATCGCTTGAGCCCAGGAGGTTGAGGCTGCAGTGAGCCGTGATTCACCACTGCCCTCCAGCCTGGGCAACAGAGCTACCCTGTCTCAAAAATATAAAAATTTTAAAAAGTCAAATGTCTACTTCTCTGGCTGTAGCCTCTCCATAGGATGCATTTCACAAAACAGCTTGACTAGAGGTTCAGGAGAAGGCTTGCTAAACTTGCGGTGGTAACTCTTTTTCTCCTGTCTTTGAAAGGTACAAGTTGCTTAACCAAGAAGAAGGTGAGTACTACAATGTACCCATTCCAGAAGGGGACGAAGAAGGAAACATGGAACTCAGGCAGAAATTCGAGGTGAGGATAACAAAATGCCTGGAAACACCTTTCCTGTAGAAAGCCTGACTTCAGGAACAGCCGAGATAGTGTGGTCACATTTTCGAAAGGCAAAAAAGTAATCTAAATGTTAATGATCTTTTTCTTTATTTAAAAACATAAATGTTGTTCACTCCCTTTCCTTTGCATGCTGTTGACTTTTTATGACTCTTATCACTTAGAAAACGGAAACTGGAAATATCCCAGAAATGAAAGCATGGTTGATTTTTGCATAAGAGATCGATTTGCACATCCCTGGGGAGAGAAGCAGCCTCTGAGGGGCAGGATTGTTCTTACAAAGGAGGACTTGTGCTCTTCTGAAAAGGAGGAAGTCATTTTGGCCTTTCCTTGGGAGCCCATTTGTGTGTAATCAGGCTATCATCTGAGACTTTTTTTTTTCCCCCTACAGAAAGTACAAGGTTCCTAATTTTGTTCTGAAAGACCAGCTTAAACAAATATGCCTTTGTGTGTGATCCTTTTTTATCTATATTCCAAGTGTTCAGCAAAGGCCACCTCCTTCTCTTCTTCCTCTTGGTATTTTTGTTTGCCTCTGTCCCGGATTCCCTGGTCTTTTTTCTTCTCCTCCTCTGCTCCTTACTTCTCTTTTTCTTCTCCTCTCTCTCCCTTCTCCTCTTCCTTTACCAGACATCTCAGCTTTTAGTAAACAGTTCTTTTCTCTAAGCACCTTCCTTGTGTTTTAAAGTCACAACTTCTAATATTTTTCTGCTTCTCTCATCACCCTTCATTTTGGCTGTTCGAGGGACTCGTAGAGTAGCCTTTTCAGTCTGTGTGACTGGTTAATTCCTTTGTGAATCTTACTCTTCTTCAGACTCATTAGAATTCCCCAGAATTTCCCCACTCTAGAGCAATACACGTGCACACGCACACATGTGTATAGGTGCTGAACTGTTACTGAAATGTTGACACTAAAGGGATGCTGTTGCTCCTGTTTTCCTTCTTCTGTTGTTCTCTAAGAAACAGACAGATCTGGGGGGTGAGTAAGAGTGGTCTTGGGAGGATAATAAACCTCCTTCATGCACCCTGCAAAAGAAACATATAGGTCTTATCCAGAGAGAATGAATCCCAAAGGATGTAAAACATGCAGTTGTTCAAATTACTTTGTTAAACTGATGTTTGGTTAAAGTCTATGTTGGTGGCAAGTACTAAATGGCAGGGGCTCTGGTTAGATGTCCTTGGGAGCACGAACGAGTGAAATGATTCACAGGTGATAAATGGCAATGAACAGCAGGCCTCGGGATTGAGGCAGTAGGGAGTGGTGGAGACTGGGGTAAGCTGGTAAGCTTGAGCCCTGTCTGCAGGTGGCAGCTACTGCTACCCTGCCCGACTTGATGTTTCTCACACACGAGTCCAGGCCTGTGTTGCCAGATCTTCCTTCTTCAAGAGAAGACAGAAATCCAGGTTTTTATGTGATACATTCTGATTTATCTTAATGTTGGCAGAGTTCTAATGTTAAAACTTAGAACCAGGCCAGGTGCGGTGTCTCACTCCTGTAATCCCAGTACTTTGGGAGGTTGAGGCAGGCAGATCACTTGAGGTCAGGAGTTCAAGACTGGCCAACATGTCGAAACCCTATCTCTACTAAAAATACAAAAATTAGCTGGGTTTGGTGGCATGCGCTTGTACTCCCAGCTACTCCAGAGGCTGAGGCATGAGAATTTCTTAAACCTGGGAGGCGGAAGTTGCAGTGAGCCGAGTTCATGCCACTGCACTCCAGCCTGGGCAACGGAGCAAGACTCTGTCTCAAAAAAAAAAAAAAAAAAAAAAAAAAAAAAAAAAAAAAAAATTAGAACTGTCCAGATGTGGTAGCTCACCCCTGTAGTCCCAGCACTTTGGGAGGCCAAGGCAGGCAGGTTGCTTAAGCTCACAAGTTTGAAACCAGCCTGGGCAACGTGGCGAAACCCAGCCTCTACGAAAAATGCAAAAACTAGCAGGGTGTGGTGGCATGCGCCCGTAATCCCAACTACTCAGTGGCTGAGGCACGAGAATCACTCGAACCCGGGAGGCAGAAGTTGCAGTGAACCAAGATCAGACCACTGCACTCCAGCCTGGGCAACAGAGTGAGACCCTGACTCAAGAAAACAAACAAAATCTTAGAACTCTGTGTAGGTAAAATATGCATCTATTGCTTTAGACACCAGTAGGATCCAACCAGTCAGAACCAGCTGGCAGTCTCGGCTCTTCAAAAATAGAGGAGAGAAAAAATAATTTTAAAAAATTATTTGTATAGTTATATATATTAGAATATGTATAAATAGAAATATGTGTGTGTATCTGTGTATCTACTATTTGTCTGTCGATAGAAAAGAATGAGATTCTTTTCAAAGAGGCCTTATGATATTTAGAGGAATTCAAGTACAAAGATGAAAGTCAGGGTTTTGGGGCAGGTTCACATGTCTATGCTAGGCATATCTCTTTTTCAATTTGTATTTCTTCCCTTGCTTCATTATCTGTTTCCACCCCTACCCTGCAGCTGAAGATGCAGACCCAGGGTACTAGAGAGGACCACCTTCTTGACCCCATCCCTGATGTCACACCACCTCTGTGACGGATGGATCCTTCTAGAGAGAGTTTCAGGACTGAGTGCCAGCATTCCTCAGCTGTCTCAGGCAGGGGAGGAACCTGAGGAGCCAGAAAGAACCTTCCTTACTGAACATTTTGCCGTGGTGTTGATCACGAACAGTCACTGGGTCAGGGGCTGCTGGCGCAGAAAGAATGCATTCGAGGGAGGAACAGCACGGGCGTTCCCCATGGGGTTCCTCACAGTAATGTCTGAGACTTAGCTTTGCTGCTGGAGAAATATTGACCCACTCTTTGTGCTTCATTGTCGCGGCTTCCTGGTGAGTAAACCTCCTGTTTTTCTGGGCAGTGAGTTCAGCTTTTTATAAAGGTCAGAGTTCCAAACAAACAAAAACAAAATACAGGCCAGAGGCCCTGAGCAAACGCGAAGCATTTCTCTTGGGAGGCTGGTCAGAGGCCCCGGGTGCATTGCTAGTTACTATTCCTCCTCCTGAGAGGACTGTGGACTTGGCAGGAGCGCCAGCCCAAGGCTGTGCAGCATCCTGGGGAGAGGTGGCGTCAGCAGAGTTGCGTGGGGTGGAGGCTCTGCTGTTCAGCCTCCTGAGGGCTATGCCTGGAGCATCTACATGAACTGCATTCTAGCCTTTGCTTTAAATACCTTTCAGCTTGCTTATAGTTCCTAGATTTTACTCGAATTACATTAGCTCATTTGCTTAGAGCATTTTAAAAAAAAACACAACTGCGAGAGACTGGGCAGAAAGCCACTAGAGGATGGCGTCAAAAAGATGCTGAGAATTTTATGACAGCTGCCATACTTCATTTTAAAAATGCATATTCAGATCTGATTTTAGGCAGGGGTTCAGTCACATAATGGTGTTTTGTTGAGGTCTATACATGTGAGAGTTGCAAGACTTCCCCAGTGCCGAGTTACTGGGGAGGGATGCACCAGGGCAGAAAGGCTGGCATCCACATTTGAGCAGTTCTGGGCGGCAGCCAGGCTTTGCAAACAGGGTGCCAGTTGGCATCAGGTCCAATTTGAAGCACCTCTTTGAGCCCCCACCCCGTTTCCTCCTCCTCAGTCTGTAGCATGAGTGCTTCTCAGTGTCTTCAGGCTCCACTCTCTGGGCCCTTTCTCGCCAAATAACTGCCTTTCTAACTTGCTTTCCATCACATTAGTCTTTTCTTCCCTACCCACTCTTTCATAGATATTTTGCCACCCTCCAGTAACAGTTTGATTCAGCTGAGTAAGATATTTTTGTTAAGTTCAATGATGAATCTGTATTGGTTGAAACACACTTGAGGGTTCATCCTGCTGGGAACAGGCATCACTCAGTGGCATCACACAGTGTCCAGTCTGTCCTTATCCTTCCATGTCCGGCTCTGTTTTCTAAAAAGGGTTCCCTCCATGCAGTTTTCGAATCCTTCTCCAGAAATCAAAAGTCATTCCGTTGGATGAAAGAGAAACCAAATGAGCATTTACAACTCTGCCACTGCGTTAGTATTCATTCGATAATTAGATGGAACATTTTTGCAATTTAAATGGTTGGTTCTCAAATCTTGGCAAACAGATTGATCAGTGAGTGGTGAGTGGAGCTCTTGGGAGCCAAGGAATATTCCAGGGTGGCTGGAGTGACCTTCCTCGCTAGTACAGATCCTGCTAGAGCCGTTCATTCTCCTACAAGACAAAACAAGCCAGAATCTTGATTGCGATATTCAGGGACAGTGTGTCTGTGGGCCTTTAATCTGTTCCATGTTTGTCATCAAGTAAAGTACACATGGTCCCTGATTCACAAACATAAGTGATGGATTTTTCCATTGGTTAAAGTAAGGTGCCAACCGTGGGCTAAGCAGACAGTTCCTGCTTTCTGTGGAGCTTACGTTCTGTACCTGTGGGCCCTGCTGCAAAAATCTTTGGGAACAAAGCAGGGAGCTTATATCCCCTGTGCTGGCCAGTGATTCCCCTGAATCTCCGGGCACTATTGAGGACAAATGAGATTCCTGTTCTTTCCTCTCACTCCTTGCTCTCTGCTCCCTGTGATCAGGCTCACGGCCAGAGTTGGGAAAAGGTCCACCTTGCATTAGAGGCAGTGCAGAGGATAGGTTAGCTCTGCTCAGCAAACTTCTTCTGTACATAGTCAGAGAATAAATATTTTAGGCTTTGTGGGCCATGCAGTGTCTGGTATAACACTCAACTCTGCCGTTGCAGCTCAAAAGAGCACAAATACATAAACAAATGAGTGTTGGTGTATTCCGATAACAAGTTACTTACAAAAACAGCAGACCAGACTTGGCCCAAGGGCCAGAGTTTGCCAACTTCTGGTTGAGCCCATAGGCTCTAGAATCAAATCCTAGTTTCGTCACTTATTTATTATGTGACCTCTCTGTGCATTGGCGTACTTAACTGTAAATGGAAGAAAATAGGTCAGGATAACTAGTTCTGTTTT